GGGCCTGTGGGCGCGGGGCTCACATCTGGCCTGGAGACAGTGGCCACGTGACACCGTGTCCCCCCAGGAAACACCGTGCTGCACATCCTGACCCTCCAGCCCAACAAGACCTTCGCCTGCCAGATGTACAACCTGCTGCTGTCCTACGACGGGCGTGAGGGCGACCCCCTGCAGTCTCTGGACCTCGTGCCCAACCACCAGGGCCTCACCCCCTTCAAGCTGGCCGGGGTGGAGGGCAACACCGTGGTGAGGACGCCCACTCGGGGCTCCCTAGCACCCTCTCCCCACGCTGGCCCTCAGGGCTTCACATGCTCACAGTCCCTGCCTCTTGTGCCCCCCAGCCAGAGCGGGACCCTTTCTCATCTCCACCACTTGGGCCCCATCTCTCCTGCTTTCCTGCCCTGGGATCTTGGGGGCTCGCAGAGTCTAGACCCCAGCCTGGGATCGTCTGTGACGTCCGTGCCCTCCTGCCCTTGAAGCCCTCAGAGCATGTCTCCCGAGCCCTGGGAAGGGGTGGGGGGCAGAAGAGGGGTCTGAGGCCGTGTGCACATGGTCCTTGTGCCTGCCCACAGCTGGGGTCATGGAGGAAGTGGAGTCCATGCCCCCCAGAGAAGCCCCACCCACATGCGGTGACCGCCCCCAGGAAGGTGGCCAGCCCTTCCTGCTCCCCTCCCCCTCCCCCAGATGTTCCAGCACCTGATGCAGCGGCGGAAGCACATCCAGTGGACCTACGGGCCGCTGACCTCCACCCTCTACGACCTCACCGAGATCGACTCCTGGGGCGAGGAGAAGTCCTTGCTGGAGCTTGTGGTCTCCTCCAGGAAGCGGGAGGTGGGGGATCCAGCACAGTCAGCCTCAGGGCAGGGATGGGCTCCTCCACTTTCAGGAGACAAGTCTGCCCACGGGCCATTACCACCACCCTCTCCTGCTCCACCCCCTTGCTTGTTCCTGCCCTTCCTGCTTGCCTTTCTCACGCTCACGTTTCAGATGAGCAATGCTTCACTGGCAGTTGCTTCATTCATTCGTTCATTCATTCATTCAGTGCAGGGAGCACCTGCTGTGTCCCAGGCATTGAGCAAGGAACAGACATATAAATAAAACTCAGCTCCTGTCTGTCCCTTCTCCATTCCCAGACCCTCAGTGATTGCAATGGGGTGTACCACCTCTACCATGACCGGCTGTGTGCTCTGCACCATTGCAGCGAAACTGAGGCATTGTTCACTCAGCTGGATGAGCCTGAGACGAGGTCACAGAGGGAATGCTTGGACTGGGTCTTCAAGGGAGTCCCTGTGTGGTGCTAATGGTTAACATACTCAGCTGCTTTAGAGGTTTGCGTCCACTCAAAGGTGCCTCAGAAGAAAGCCCTACGAGTCTCCTTTCGAAAAAGCAGCTGTTGGAATCCCTGCGGATGGATGCTTCTTTGTATGTATTCATATGTGTATATGGATTTCTACATGCTTGTTTATAAGGAAAAAACAAACTCACTGCTGTTGAGTTGGACCCGACTCATAGCGACCCCTCCTTGGGTCTCCAAGGCGGTAGGTATCACTATGGAAGTAGATTGCTCCATCTTCTTTCTGAGGAGTGGCTGGTGGGTTTGAACTGCCAGCCTTCTGGTTAGCAGTCACATGCTTTAGGCACTATGCCACCAGAGCTCCTTATATATTTATTTATATCAGTGAAAGTAGTACAGCAGACAGGGGGCAAGATTCTGAAAACTTCTTAGCTGTAACTAAACACCTTGAGCAAATAAGTCACTGGACCTGGGAGCTCAGGACCATAGTCTTGGAGGACATCAAAGTCAATTGGAGCAACAGTCCAAAAGACAGTGTTCTACATCCTGCTTTGGTGAGTGGTGAGTAGTGACTGGGGTCTTAAAAGCTTGTAAGTGGCCATCTAAGATGCAACTGTTGGTCTCTCCACGTCTGGAGCAACAGTGAACAAAATCAAAGTTGTATGGATATAATTTTTAGCCCAAGGGACTAATGGACCAGGCAAACCCCAGCCTCCATGACCCTTAGAACAGAAGAACTAGATGGTGCCCAGCTACCACTATCACCTGCTCTGAAAGAGAGAGATCACAGTAAGAGTTCCTGGAGAGAGTGGGAGACAAATGTGGAAAAAAATACAAAATCATTGGGGGAAAAAAAAAAGACCAGGCTTACTGGTCTAATAGAGACGGGTGGAATCCCAAGACTATGGCCCACAGACACCCTTCAAACCAGGAGTCTAACTCACCCCCATGGCTCAACTTTTAGCCAAATGAGAGACAAGTCTTTAAGGTGAACAATGGCACCAGGGAATAACCAACC